TTTTTTTAAAGTTATTTTGAGAAAAAATGCACAAAAATTGTTGTCAACAATGGAATGATCATACAATTTTTTTCTTTTTAAATCAAAACGAACCATGAATAGCATTGCTAATTTTGCTGTGAATTGTGAAAAATTGTTAGAGCAATCGGAAATTAAATAAAATTTTGATTTAATAATGGCAAAATCGGATGCTTAATGATGTTGTAGTCATTTGATATTTGAAATATGAATGAGATAAGGAAGCTATCTGCTTCAAACATCTCTCATTTCATTCTCCCAGGAGTATTTGCGTAATTTTATACTGAGTTAACCGAATTCATCACAACGGTTTACATCAAATCATTTTACTCGTTACTCGAATAAATCTAATATTACTAAATTACAGAAAATTATTCTCAATATATCAATATGGAAAGAGAAGTTGAATATTTCTGTATCACAATTATTTTCGTATATTCTTTTTTTGCATTTTTCTATACTTGAAAATATTATAATAATTTATTAATAAAATGAATTTAAAGAAACTATCTCAAATCATTAAAATGATTAATTTTTTTTTTGTTATAATACTATATATTGAAATTATCATTTTCCTTCACTACTTTCACAACTTTTCATTTTTTTTTTTTTTTTGAGAAAGAAATACTCAATCAGTTGAAAAATCATTGCATTTTTACTGTAAACTTTTAATAAAATTTGTTCGATAAAATTTCATCAAAAAAGTTAATTTTCAATAAATTAATTTAGAAACAAAAAATCTTTTTTGCTTCATTTACAAACTCATTTTTGTATTTCAGCAAGTGTTTGTAGAAATTCAACTGAATGACATGTAAAAATCGTTCTCCTAATTATGCGAAAATTCTTCTTCCTTCTCCTCCTCCACTAATGAGTAAGTAAAATTATTATTAAAGCAGGCTAGCTTAACTTAACATTTCATTGAATGCAAACGTTAATGAAGCACTACAATTATTATTTTTATTATGGCTAACTTGGCTTGTCTATTTGATGATTGATATTATTATATTAATTTATGCTAGACATTGAATTATGAAATATAATGAGAAGTGAAATTAGACTAAACATAAATTTTAGCAAATTTTACAAAATGAATCACAAAGACGAATAAATTTCCGACTAATTATTTTTAATAATCAATTATTGAAATAAATAAATAATATCTATCCATGCTAAGTCCTCATATGTATTTTACTGGCTCATTTGTTTAATTTCGTAATTTTGTAAATGCTACAATAATTTGTAAAAAACAAATTTAAATTATCAAACAAAGACTCAAAAAAACAACATTAAAAAAAGATTAAATTATATAAAGTTAAAATTTTACAAATGATGGCAGCATTATTTTTTTCTATCAATAAAGTGATAAAAGTTTCAAAAGTTAAAAGATGAATTTAATGAACTGCATGAAGATTATCAAACGGAATCATTACAATTGATAGGTAATATTTATTTTCTCATGGAATGAAATTAATATAACATTATAGTTTAGAGAGAGAGAGAGAGAGAGAGAGAGAGAGAGAGAGAGAGAGAGAGAGAGAGAGAGAGAGAGAGAGAAAGAGAGGAAGAAAGGAAAAGAAAGGAGAAAAGGAAAACTTTGAAAAATTATTGTAAAAATTTGAAGCATTACTGAGAGAATTTCACCTGCTGTCTCGCATTTTACCGTTCAACCATAAAAATTTCGTAGACAAATTAAATGAATTAATTCTTGAAGGCTATTTTCAAAGTTTTAATGGAAGTTTTATGGACAGGAATGAGAATATCAAATAAAAATGAGCGGAAAAGATTTTCGGTGCGCGAAATTTTCGGTTCATTAAATTTTGCAAATATTCCTTTCAATATTTCAAAAGTTTTTTTTTTCCCTTTTTTGTTTTAATAAAAACGTAATTTCATTTCATTGTTAATTTTAGCGTAAAGTGAAATTTCCGTTATTTGCAAAAAAAAAAACAGCTTTTTACGATAATAATGAAAAAATAAAAAATTCCTATAACTTACTCATCCAGAGTTTTAATTTATGAGGTATTTTAAATTTATTTTATCATTTGCTTGATAATTCGTATCAAAATTTGTTTACAAAAAAAAAAAAAAAAAAGATAGGAGATGTTATGGAAGAAGTATAAGAATGCCTAATGTAGCAAAGCCAAATGTTTATAATTGATCCAGTTTGGTGAAATAATATCATTTATCGTAAATTAATGAGCAATTCAAATAATAGATGAGTGAAATTATCTGTTGAAAATTGTTGAAATTTCGAGTAAAACTCAAATAATTTAGAAGTTCTTGTCAATTTATCTTCACTACGATGATATAAGTGCCACCTATAAGTTAACATTGATCATATGCTACTGCTCTCTTCCTGTCCTACATTTTTCTTTCTTTCCTTTATTTTTTTTTTTCATACAGAGTTAACAATTTTGAGAAAATTCACTCAAAAAATGCGCCAATTTGCTCATCAGGGTAACTATTATTGCATTCATAATATATCTTTCCCCAATCAATCATTCAAATTTGATTGATTCCGATAATTACGATAATAACTGATTCGCATATTATATTTAAATAATCATATGGATTTTTTTTTTCATTCCTGTATATCTGTCATTTCTGAAAAGTAATTCACGAATGGGAATTGATTGACAGGTTGTTAGAATTTATTTGTATAAAAAATTAAAAATCTAAATAATATTTAATAAGCTAGTATTCTAGTATTGGATAATCATAATGGAATTTTTGTTAGGAAAGAAAATTAGAAAGGAATTTTCATTATTTATATTATAATTAAGGATTTAGTTAGATGAATCATTCCATTGTACCACGATTAGTAAAACAGAAATAAAAAAAAAATTCAATTCATTAATGAACTAAGAAATAGGAAAAAGGTCAAAGAATAAAAAGCTTACCTAACAGGTCTGTAATGCTAATTAGCAAAGTTAGCTAGTTTGTATTGTGAATCATCAAAAAAAGAAAAAAAAAAGCAATATAAGGTAATGCATTCTTTAAGAGAGAGAGAGAGAGAGAGAGAAAGACAAAAGAGGTAAGAAAAGAAATTAGTAATATTCAATGAATGTAAAGAATTTAAGGAAGCAATAAATTTTTGTTCTTGAAAAAAGTACCTATTTGAAAAGCAGAAATTTTAAATATGATGAAGCTGTCGAGAAGTGTTTATGCACTTTTTTGAGCATCTTTTTTTTTTAATTCGAATTATTTCACACCACGCATATACTGTTAATAATAAATATTAAAAAATTTTCATTTTTTTTTAAATGATTAAATTCTCCTCTCATTCGTTTTACTTTCTCGTTTCCTCTATTTTTTTTGAAATTAATTCAACTCTCAAAATTTTTTCATAGTTTCGTCATAGATCCTAATTTTATTATTCTTTTTGAAATGTATTGTAAATTAGGTTTCCTTAAAATTGTCTAAGGATTGATTTCGAATTTTCATTTCTAAAGTATTGATTTTTCAATGAAGTAATTTGTCGTTATGAATGTTACATACATGTATATGGACGATAATTAACTATATTAAATATAATTTTAGCATATAAGCTATGAACAAGTACACTTCATAAATTATAATTGCAAATAGGTGAACATAAAAACGCCTCTTATTAAATAATACTATACATCAATAACTGTAATTGCATTTCAAATTATAGTATTTACATATAAATATCGTAATTAATAAATGCTTTCTCATATTTCAAATTTCACAATGATTACATTCAATTGCAAACATTGAAGTAACGAGAATTATATGAGAATTTCATTCCTTCACTCAGTAATTTGAATCTTCAGTGCTCTACTAAAATCAAAAATAAAATAGAATTAATAATTTTTAAGGATTTTAACGTAAAGTATTTAATAGTTCGTTTGTATTATTCACGTTGATCAATAGACGACTCATTTAAATGTAATCACTTCATCAATTGTACATGAAATTTAGATATTGACCATAAAACTTGCAGTATTCGTTGTCAAAAAAATTCTATTTTCATCAAATTGGCTCCCAATTATTGATAAAAAAAAAAAAAAATACTCTGAATGTTTTGGCTGCATTTCATTATCAATAGAAATTTTGCTCTCAAATTTCGGAATCATTCTTCCATGCGATGAAGAAAGCACCACAAAAGTTTTTCGCTTGATAAAAAATTTTTTATTAAACTTCTTTGTCTCACACAGATTTGAATAATGACTGAAGCATTTAAATACAATTATGACCGTAAGAAATCCGATCTGCTATTGTAGCACGATTTGTTAGTTATTTGCTATGGTTTGGCTATGATATAATTAATCATACTTCATTTTATTTTAATGGCCTTTCCGATTTTTACAGAGAGTTTTAGAAAACTGCCTAGATGGGATATTTTTGCTGATTTTTTTAAATAAATGTAATATTTTTTAAGTCTAATAATGATGAAACTGAATAACGTATTAGGGTCATATAACCAAGCAAGCATAAGTATATCTCAAATCCTTGGTCAGCAAAATTAACTTTCACGTGTTTCAGAAAAAAGATATTAGTAATTAATGCTTTCTTCATATATTTTTCTAAGATTCAGATAAGAA